GCCTTGCCTTGCCTTGCCTTGCCTTGCCTTGCCTTCTCTTGCCTTGCCTTGCCTTCTCTTGCCTTGCCTTGCCTTGCTTTGCCTTGCCTTGCCTTGCCTTGCCTTCCCTTCCCTTGCCTTCCCTTCCCTTGCCTTCCCTTGCCTTGCCTTGCCTTGCCAACCTGGCAAAGGCAAGCCCCTTGCACCCTGCAGCCGCAGCCGGCAGGCTTTCCGCAGGCAGCCGTGCCCTCCCACCCTTTGCCGCAGAGAAACCTTTTACAGCCAAACAGAAGTGCTGCCAGGTCACCGTTTCCCAGTGCTGGAGCGGCAGAGAGGTCTGGGCGTGCGGGTCCCGCCGGAGATCTCGGGTGCAGCCCTGCTCCCGGCAGGGCCGGTGTCACAGCTGGAGCAGGGGATGGGCACACCAGACCCCCTGCACCTCCCCGGGCGGTGGGGATGCCCCCCAGGTGCCCTAACATGCTATTTAACCCGCGGCCGTGCATACCCCATGCAGGGCACCCGGGCGCCCAGGGTCTTGGGTCAGCAGGAGCCACAGTGCCCGTGGGGCAGACGTGCCCCTACCCAACCCAGTGCTCCCAGCTCCTGGCTTGCTGGGGCAGGGCTGGGAGAGGCCACGACACACCCTGAGCAGGGAGAGGGCATCCGAGGGCAGAGGCAGACGGGTACCAGTTACGGAGCAAAACCTGTCCTCGCTCCTGGTTCAGCCACAGAGAGCCCTGCTGCCGCAGGCTACGCGCTCAGCAGGGATGAGACCTCCTCTGCTGCAGCCAGCAGGACCACGTGTGGGGAGACCAGCCGCCCCCTCCACAGAGCACAGCTCCCTATCCCTGCCCTCCTCTCTCCCAGACCCACTATCCCACCTCGGTCCCTGCTGGTGGACATCTGACGGGGATGCTGAGCCTCAGAGCACCCTCCCTGTCACCCAAGGAGACGGGCAACTGGTGTGGGTCAAGCAGCAGGTCTCTTGAGCATCCTTCCCCCATCTCTTAACGTTGTTACCTGTGTGCACCCCCCCCAAGATCTCCCCACACAGCATCTTGAGGCACACAGCGCAGCCCCAGAGCCCCCAGCAGGCAGGTACCGGCCAGGCTCCCGAGGGTGCCCATGGAGGAGGCGAGATGCCTTCTGAAGTGCCGCAAGAAAACCATGCAACCAGATTCACGTAGCAAGTGTCTCTTCAGCGCGTTTGCCCCTATATATAGGTGCATCTACTGAATATATATATGTCTTAGCAATAGTATACTGGAAACTGTGCCACGCGTGACTTGGTGGTGCTGAACTAATGCATACAAAAGTATGGAGGGGTCCATGTACCCTCGAAGTACAAAGTTCCTCCTGTCCAGCCACAGGAGGATCCGATTTTGGGGCACGACGGGTAACCTGCCGGGACTCCTGGGGGGCACGTGGCTTTGGCACCTGCCCAGTTTGCTCACAGAGCTGCCGGATCCGGGAGGACGGACTGGTGCCAGACTGCCATGGGATGCTTGGGGCAGCAGAGTCCAGCCCAGGTGCTCCAGCCGAGCTGCGATCCCTGGGCCGAGAGCCAGGGTGCCCGCTGCTCCATGCCCACGGGCTGCTGAAGGCTTGGGCATCGGGCAGCAGCCAGCGAAAGCTCTATGTGCATTCCTCTCATGGCAGGTGAAGATGTGGGTTAACCCTTGGAGAGGAGGACCTGGAGATTTCCCCGTGGAGGTAAAAGGTGCTAACATCCCGCCGCCGGCTGCCATGCAGCACCTGCGGGGCATCCAAAATGCATTTCGTGGGCAGTTGAGCAGCTCTGGAGTGGCCGTGGTCGGTGAGAGGGGTCCCCTCGGCATGCCTCTCACCGGGGCTGGCATGCCCGCTCCCCCCCGGCTGACAGAGGGGAGCCACGGCTGAGCACGCTGCCCACTCCAGCAGTCGGGCGAGGAGCCGGGAGTGCCGTCAGGCTTCTCCCTGTGCAGCTGGGGTCTGGCTGGCAGGGACGGGGCTTCCTGCTCCTCCTTGAGGCACGTCCAAAGCCCAAAATGTCCGGAGAGTTTTTGTTTTCACCCTGTAATTGCACAGCCAGCTTTGAGCTAGTGGCAACTCCCAGCTCCTCCTCGAGCAGGTAGTGGCTGCCGGATGGTCCCTGCTCCAGCGGGCATGTACCCACGCACATCCCTTCCCCAGGTGCCTGTCCCACGCACGGGCCGGGAGCTTCCTCACGGAGAAAGTCCAGCTGACGTTCCTCCCCTCTGACCTGGGGAGAGAAGCCGCTCTGTTCCGGTCATGGTCACCAAGAACACGCTGCGTCAATAAATAACCCTCGTCTCAGCCCGCGTCGCTCCTGGGCTCGGGTCAGCAAGCGAGCGGGAGATCCGAATCGTCCCACGCCGTGGCTCTCCTTGCTACCCTTGGGGTTTTCCTCTGAGGCTTCACTGTACAATGAGAACAAGACCAGCTGCCCGGGTTTTATTGCTAAGTCCGAGTGAAGTGGCTTCGGTTTGCGTATGGGGCTCCTCTGGGGACGGGGAGGGATGGGGACCGGGCTGGGGGGAGCAAAGGGTCATTCTTCACTGGCTGACTCTTGGAGAAGGCGATGGATGTCCTGGAAGGAGGGACGATCTTTAGTGTCCCGTCTCCAGCAGCTGAGCATTAGCTTATAGACTGAGTCAGGGCAAAGTGCAGGCTGGGGAAGGTAGGTCTTCAAAACAAAAGGCAAAGATGAGAAAGGGAGAGAGTTACTGCCACGGAAACCAAAAAGCAAAATGCTCCTGGGGAGCCCGATTTCTCTGTGCACCGGAGGGGAGGTGGACAAGGGGACCCCCAGATGATACAGTGGGGGGGCTGGGGACAGCTGCTCATGTCTCCCAGCCTGGCTAAACGCCGGAGCAGGGTTAGGAGGCAAGCGGTGCCTCGGGCTGTGTAAAGTGCAGGGTTTGCCGTGCCGGGCCCTTCAGCAGGACTCCTTCCCAGAGGAGTTCCTGTCCCATAACTCCCCCATAGCCAAGCTCCCTAGCTGGCCACCTTAAAGTCTTTCCCCAGGTCCCCAGTCTCCCAGGTGCACTACTGCCTGTCCTGCCCCATCCCATCCCATCCCATCCCATCCCATCCCTACCTGCCGGCCCTGGTCCCGGAAAAACTCGCCGGTGTTTTCGATGACCTGCTCATCGGACAGCTGGGAGTAGGGCTGCTCCCGGCAGAGCGTGAAGGTCTCCCACAGCGTCACGCCGAACGCCCACACGTCACTGGCCGTCGTGAACTTGCCCTGGCCAGAGGGAGCAGAACAGGGTCGGGCATGGGCATTGCCCCATCCTGCTCCATAAGCCCTATGTGCCCAGGGTTCAAAACCTCTTTCTGGATGCTTCAGCTTCCAGATCTGGACCCAGAGTGGGGCTTGGACCCACAGACCTGCTCTCTGCCCAGGGCCAGAGCCTGGTGAGCTCCGGGTTCAGCTTGCAGCAACTGCTCTGAGAGCTGGGGCTTGGTGAGGACCCAGCTCCCTGCAAAGATAAAAATTAACCCTGCTCCCTCTTCCAGGGCTGACCACGGCCAGGAGAAAATGTCAAGCATCCCGCTCAAAGGCTGGACACCGGGCCACCAAAGATCACCGCAGTCCCCCCATCCTGCCTTGAAAAGCTGCTATCGCTCCTGCTTTCGGCATGCTTCACCCCAAAGCTGGGCTCCGGGGAGGACAGACTTCCCCGTCCCTTCTGCACCCCCCAGCCCGAGGTGAAGAGGCTGTGAGCAGCCCCAGGACCGTGTCAGCGTCCATCCGAGGACCCCAGCCCCCGCGTACCAGCAGGATGCTCTCCCAGGACATCCAGCGGATGGGGAGCACTGCCCGCCCCTGGATGCGGTAGTAATCCCCGCTGTAGAGATTCCTGCTCATGCCGAAGTCGGCTATCTTGATGGTGTACTGCTTCCCCACCAGGCAGTTGCGCGTGGCCAGGTCTCGGTGCACGAAGTTGAGGGAGGAGAGGTACTTCATGCCGGAGGCGATCTGGGTGGCCATGAACCGCAGGTCGCTGTAGCTGCCGGAGTGGGGACAAGGGAGGACTGAGGTGCAGGAAAGGATGGCAGCCGTGGTGGGGGAGGTACGCGGCCCTGAGCGGGGTGCCCCACAGCCGGGCAGGGTGCCTAGAGCAGGCAGCCCTGCCTGTCCCTGCCTGTCCTGGGTGGCACTACCTGACGGTGGATGTGTGGCCGGCGGGGGGGCTGCCTGCCTGCTGGCGGGACAGGAACTGGTTGAGGTCTCCGTTCTCCATGTACTCGGTGATCATGCACAGTGGGTCATCCGTGATGCACACCGCCAGCAGCCGGATGATGTTGGGGTCTTTCAGCCGTGACATGATCTTGATTTCCTTCAGAAAATCATTCCTTTCCGGAACAGAAACCACACGGATCGGATAGACAGACCCAGAGGGGCACAGAGGTACGCACGGACCGGCTGAGCGTGCCACCCACCCGCCCAAGCCTTGTGGGGGACCCGCGGGTCCCGTCCCCTGGGACTGGGGACTATGAGAGGGAGCTCAGGGCTGATCCGCACCCAGCTGTGGAGTGGACTCGGTGGGTAGATGGGGAGCTGGTTAGGACCAGCAAGGACCAGAAGTCCTGAATCCTGGCAGCCCAGCGTCCCCAGGCAGCTCAGGCGTATAGTCCTCGCAGGTGCACCAAGCACCTGGCCGCTGGAGGCAGGGGATGCTTTCCGAGCGTCCCGGCTCTCCTGGGGGGGCAATACGTGGGGGGCAATGCCAGGGCGTGTGCACCCCCCGGCCCCGTACCTGGCATTCTTGTTGGCATCCGCTCGCAGCATCTTGACAGCCACCAGCACGGGGCTGTTGGAGCTGGTGTCCAAACCCTCCAGGGCAAAGTCCTTGCCTGTGAACTTCTCCATCCCCTCCACTTCGCAGAGATGAACCTGGAGGGGGGCAAGGGGCAGCCATTACCTCCAGCTACTGACAGCCTCCCCCGGCTCCCGCAAACTGGGAAGAGCCTTGCCTGAGCCCGGCTCAGAGCAGATCCAGCTCCCACTCACCTCCCCAAACTGGCCTTCCCCCAGCTTCTCCTTGAAGGTCAGCAGCTTCCTGGGGAACTCCTCGACGGCCACGTCCTTGCCGGAGAGCAGGTCCATGGTGAGGGCTGGCACTGAGTAGGTGTTGCCGCCCGTCACGCCCTGCAGGTTCACGATGTCGGCCTCGGCGTAGTGGGGGACGCCCTCGGGGACACTGGCCTGGGATGGCTTCACGGCACCGCTGCAACCTGGGGGGGGGACAGCGGGGGCAGCCCTGCCGTGGGTGTTCTGCCCTGCACCCTCTGCTCCCGGCACCCGCTCACATTCTGGCCACCGGCTCCTCCGTCCCCGTCCTCCCCAGAGCCCCTGGCACGGCTGCGCTCCTGCAGACGTCGCAGGCTGCTCCGCTCCTTCCCCATCACCGAGAAACGCACCAACCCAGCCCCAAGCACCAGACGAGCAGGGATCAGTGCCCAACCTCCGGATGGCCGAGGAAGAGATGCCAGAGCATCCC